CTATTAACGCGTAAGCGTAGAGTTAATCCGTCTTAGAAATCGTTCCAAATTGGTTAAAAGAAGCTTATTTGCCACAATTGGTTTGTTACAAGGACCGAAATCTATCCTTTTGTACTTTATATGGCGTGTGGGGGGATGATTTTCATAAAAAATTTCAAATTTTAGACAAATTTTTTTTTTCATTTTGTTTTTTTTTCAGTGAATTTTTTAATGTTATTACTGCTCCATAAACCTTAAAAGGCAGTCGGAACATTCAGGGCTTCGCCCTGATACTAGCAGTCTTGTATTGATTCCTCTCCAATAAGTTACTTTAGTTGTCGTGTCGTTTGCGTGGTAGAAAGCCGAATGTTTCTATCTCACTTTCCTTAGTTAGTTAATTTATCCGTTATATTAAGGCCAATGTGCGGTTAGTTTGTTTGAGCAATATTTTCGCTATTGGACGTGAGGTTCCACATTAACTCAAAAAGAAACAAGACTGCTCGTATCAGGGCAAAGCTCTGAATGTTCCAACAGCTTTTTCAGGTTTATGGATCAGTAATAACCTATAAAAATTAAATATAAAAAATAAAAAAAAACTGAAAAATTTTGTATCGAAAGTCGGATAAAAAAAATAACTCATATTTGCTTGCCTCTTTTGAAACTTTGAACCTTACGCGATAAGTTTTTTTAGCCTTGTGTTGAATCATTTTGCAATGAGACTAACACAGTGCCAAGCAAATTTGGATGTTAAGATAGCTAAGCTTTATTGGATGCAACTATGCATAAAACACCATGTTGTATAGCTTTACAACTGCCAAAAATGTTTGTTGATTGATCATGATGTATGTCAACGACAGCTGTGTCAGTTAAACCGTTTTTGTTGTTTGCATTACTTGCAGACTCGGGGTTTTTTTTTGTCGCCATCTCATAACTCATTTTCCTAGCTGCAAACTGAATAGTTTTATGGGTTCCTTTCCCCCTTAAGTGAGTAGCCGTAAAATGTGGCGACAATGCGTGACAATCGACAAATCGTAATAATTTTTTAAAGGGCAAACACTAACTTATGCGCACTATTCCTCTCGTACCGAATGTAGGCGCAGCGGAGCTAATGTATTCTTCTTGACAAGGAATCGCTACTAATTGTCGTTTGTTGCAAGTTGTCTCCTGCTACGAATAGTCGCCCTAACCCCCTAGCCACGGAATGATTTTGAAAATTGTCTCTGTGTTACCTAAGAATTTCGAACAAACAAGCACATTAGATTAATTGTCACAGTTTTCACGTGGAAAGGCATTTGAGTGCTGATAATTACCTAAATTTATTGTTCCGAATTTATTGTTCCGACTTTCGAAACGAAAGTAACGGAATATTTGTGCTCCGGGTGGGTTTTTTTTCTTCAGACAAATTTCGACTTTTTAACAAGCCATTTTTGACTAGATTTTTTTTATATCATTCGAAAGGTATTGTTGTCCTGAGCTCAAATTTGAAAAGATATTTCACCTGTTATCATTTTTTCGTAAAGTTATGAGGGTTTAATGATTGGCATTTTGGCCAATTTGGGACAATTGACGCGCGATATATTTCGCACTATTAACGCGTAAGTGGAGAGTTAATCCGTTTTAGAAATCGTTCCAAATTGGTTGAAAGAAGCTTGTTTGCCATAATTGATTTTTACAAGGAACGAAATCTATCCTTTTGTATTTTATATGGCGTGTGGGGGGATGATTTTCATAAAAAATTTCAAATTTTAGAAAAAAAAATTTCTTTTTTTCTCCACATTTAACTTTTTAATGTTATTACTGCTCCATAAACCTTAAAAGGCAGTCGGAACATTCAGGGCTTTGCCCTGATACGAGCAGTCTTGTTTGAATGCAGTTCTTTCTATCAAAACTGTTAACTTCCTTTAAATCTAAGGTATACTCAAAGTTATCTCCTGAAAAATTGGTTATAATTCCTTTTTCTATCAAAAAATTTTTATCTCATTACGAGGCCAAACTCTGCATTCTGTGCATTGTAAACGGATTCTGCAACAGGCCAAAATCAGATTTGTCGCGGAATTGGCAACCTCGCTACTTTTCTGTGATCTTCTTTGCTGTTTTGGATTCCACAAACAAATACTTAAAACAATGTACCGCTCAAAATCGCTCCATAAATAAGCGAATTTGTGGAATCCGCAACTGTATTTGCGGAATCTAGAAGAGTTTGTGGAATCCGCCAACAAATAATAAGACATGTGTATAGGTACATTGAGCTGTTGCGGAATCCGCAACTGTAAGCAAAATCTGCAAATTGTATGTGGAATCCACAAATTGTAAGTGGAATCCGCAAATTGTAAGTAGAATTCGCAATTTGTTTGCGGATTCCACTAAAATTTGCAGATTCTACTTACATTTTGCGGATTCCACTTACATTTTGCGGAATCCACATACAGTTGCGTAATCCAGAATAAAAAGCTATATTTGCTTGGTGCGCGGAATCCGCAACAAAACAAATGTTTCGATAAAATTTACTTTAAAGGTATTTGTACGCGGAATCCACGCAACTTTTATAAGTGGAATCCACCTACATTTTACAACATGTGTAAAGATTTGTCTCTGCAATCCAGAAACTTACAGACACAAAATTGTGCGCCTATCCAGTGCACAGTTTGGCCTCGTAATGCTCACAAAAAAATCAATTAGTAAGGATTATAATTTAGCTATCCTGCAAGAAAATACAGTGAAGTCAAATTTCATGTAAGTTTGAGCTATTAGCAGGGGGCGGATCTAGGACTTTCTCGAAGCAGGGGCGGATTTACTATTAGCAGGGGCGGACTTTCAAAAAGTTTTCGAAAACTTTGTCGAATTTTTTCTAGGTTGACCAAATTGATTTTATGAGCACTTCTAACTTGCTATAAAGACCCCATTTTTTTCAAACTGCAACAAGTATGAAAAAACAAGGCAAAAAACGTTTTTGGACAATTTTTAGAGAATTTTGATCTAAAAATCGCGTTTTTTTGGAGCGCTCTCCCCCCTCAAAATTAGTATACATTGGCGCCTTTAGAAAGTGTTTAGGCTCCGTCACCAAAAACGGAGATCTCAAAATAGTTCAAGGGGGGAACCCGAGCCACCACCCCTGAAACCGCCCGGGCTATAAGTACAAAATTACAGTTTGTTTTCGTTCGGTGACCAACTGAAAAGCACACAAAACAAAACAAAAAAAACGAAATGAAGCAATGACACAATTGCTGAATAATAATGGATTAGACTCCATTATAATGGATTATAATTCAATAAAATTTGAGAAAATTTTTTTTCAAAAAAAAATCGATTATAATTGATTATCAACGATTATAATGATTTTTATTGTTTCGAAAAATAGTAACATAATAATTCATTTTTAATCGATTATAACCAATTCTTTTTAAAATTTATGGAGAAATCATTCCAAATTGGTTCAAGGAAGCTTATATGCCATAATTGATTTGTTAATGGGAGCAAAATCTATCACTTTGTACTTAATATGACGTGTGGGGGGATGATTTTCATATAAAATTTCAAATTTTGGGAAATTTTTTTTCATTTTTTAATACATTTAATTTTTCAATGTTATTACTGCTCCATAAACCTTAAAAGGCAGTCAGAACTTTCAGAGCTTCACCCTGATACGAGCAGTTTTGTTGGTCTTTTGTCAACTTATTTTTGCTGGTTATTATTTAAATCAGTTCCCGCCCATTTCTAATAAAAAACGTCACATTCAGACATATTGTTCCTTAATCAAATGGTTTCAGTGAACCACAACGGCGCCGAACATCATTTTTCGTTTTTCATCATTTTAAATTCCTGCAGGATCTACAGCCAAAAAGGTTTGTGTCAAATGAGTTTATTTTAAACCAAGACATTGAGAAGTTACAATTTCAGAGAAAGTGAATACTGCTTTTAAAGTGTTTGGGGATTAAAAAAACTAAAGAGCCATTACAAAATTTTTCAAATGAAACGTTTTTATACAAATAAAAGAGAGAATGATTCACAGGGTCAAGCTAAGGGAAATTTATTGACACTACAAATTCGGTGTGTAGTTCGAACTCAACTTCATTTTTGTCTATAATCTCATTGAAAGTAGCTATGCTCTGTACAATTACGTTCAATAAGACTGTAGACAAAAATCAATTTGTGGAGTTCCAACTGGACTACCGAACTTGTAATTTTCTTAACTTTCCCGTAGCTTGGCCCTGGAATTCATTTGATAGAAAATAGCGTTATTAAACTAGCGCTGCCCTCAAAGTTTGAGAATGCTTATCAAAAATGGATGTGGAAAAACAGCATCTTATGTCGGATGAAATCCAATTGTATGTCAAAAAACATCTTGGTGCTGTTTTCTGCATCCATTTTTTGAGAAACACTCAAATTTTGTTTGTAGCGCGCGCTGAATAACTCTATTTTTGATCAAAACTTTCAAAAAAAGTGCTCCGAAGCGTTTTTTTTTCGAAAAAATACCCTAATGATCACTGTAGCGTTTCGGCAGAACTCCAAGAATTTAAAATTATTCCTGATCATCTTTTTTCTCTCTGTATTGGGGTTTTTCAATTTTGCGAGGTAAATTTGAGGAACATTTCCACTTTCTTCATTAACGAGTTAAGTCGACTTGTAAGAGTTTTTTTCGAATTCCCAAATTTATTGGCCCAGTCGCGATAGGACGTAACCAAACACGAGTTATTTCAGTTCGGAATGTACGAGTTTTTATAATCAAGATTAAACTTCCCAGAAAAGATGAAAAAATAATCCTTCGTTTTATATTTTTGTGTCGATTGTGTTGAAAATTTTGTGAATAATTAGAATGGAAAGTAAAGGAAACGCAATTGAAACTATAGAGCTTCTTAATTTTCCCTCGCTGCTTCAATCTACAGCACCTCTGCTACACTGATGTCTTAAAATCTAAACTGTTAGTTTGTTTTGCCTTAAAAAACTGCAAAGTTTAAATCAGAGTTCTTCCTACTATAAAGAATGGAGCTCAGAGTATTTCCAAATGAAATTCTATGTTCTAGCAGTTCTACTCATTTTGTCGATTTCTTGCGTCAAGAGCAGAGGAATCTCCTTGGAAGATCCATCAGATGAAATAACAAAACAGTTCAACGTCTTCCCCTCAAACAACAGTGGTGGCCAATTCGTTCAATTCTGGGATTCCCTTTACGATGATGACAACCCAAACCTGGAGTCGACTCCATTTTATCGTTAGAAATTGACTTTTTCGAACAACATTATCTCTGCATAACATGAACGTCATAAGGCCTTCTGAGTTAAGACTGGTGTGTATAACTCATAGAGTAATTTCGGATAGGGTACACCGTCTGCTCGTCACGCTATCTTATTTTCGGCCGGATAGATTCGTGCAACTTCTTAGTCTAATACCGATCCTAATCTTACTCTTATACTATCTAGTCTCAGGTTGTTTAACTAGTCTCTGCTAGGCTCAATAGATCTAGGGTATACTGGTTTATTGCGGCTGCTGAAGTGCTCGGGAGAGTCCAACTAATTTCTAAGTTAAATTCAAATCTCTCTGGTGCTGAAATTACAAGTAACTTCAGCACTTACAAATAAGTGGGTTGTTAGTTAGATGGATCATGATTGGTTAATATTAAATACTTTACATTGGTAAAACATTTAATTTATCCAATCATAAAATGTAGTTTAGATCAGGTTCCACCCATCCGGGTTTTACAGAGTTTTTTAGAATAGTTCTTCTGTAATTCGAAGGATGGATGATGGACGTTGGTGTTTGGCGAACATCTTATTTCTTCTGTTTTCTTTTTGTTAAAGAAAATCCAGGAAGCTGGAGTTAGGGACATAAGACGTTGTGTCTTCTAGTGACAACGACTACGTCTTTGCAACAAACTCAAATCTGATTTCAGAATGGTTTGCTATGTCAGGTTTTTCTGTTCTGCGTGGAGAACTTCTTTTGTGTATGATCTAGTTTGGGAATGGCGTGGAGATTGTGCGTGGAGGGGATGCCTGGTTACTCGGATCTGTACGTATACTTGAACATCGAGGTGGCCATTGGTCTAGTTCAATGAAGTCCTTTTCTGCGAGGTCAAGTCGTACTCTAAATCCTTTGAGTTGTGATTGTGAGCGGCATATCGATTGTAGTTGGTCATTCTCTCTCGAGTGTAGTGGGGTCGTCTTGTCTTTTGATGTTCGTCCTTGGTGTTGTATTCTGATCTATATATTGCATCATGTGATTTTACATTTTATAAAACTTTTATTAGTTTAATATTTTTTAATAATGATTTTAGTTAGTTGTTTTCACAAAAGCTTTTTGTTTTAGTTCGGTTATTTTGAAGAGTTACTCACACTTGAGTAGCTCTTATTAAAAATAAAGGTGTGGTCACAAAGCGTGGATGTAGCGCGGTGGGTTAGGCCGGCTATAGAGCATGCTCAGGACGTCCTTCCTGGTGGGTTAGGCCAGGAGTGGGAGTATGATTTCGTGCGGTTTTTGTGAGGGGTCCTGTTATGTGACAACGTTTTATGTTGGGTTTGTTGTGGTCTTACTTATGTTTTGTTGGTTGTGTCCTTTTTTCAAAAATCAAATTGTTTGTGGTATGGGTTTGTCTTTCGACTTTTTTGTGTTTTATTATTTCTTTCTTAGACTTTATAATAGTCTTCAAAAGAATAAATTATCCAGTTTTAAACTGGGTTAATCCGGTTTGGGTACCGTTGGTTTTCTTTTCTAAGTCATGCTGTTATTCTATGATTTGTGGTATTTAGTAAGCTGCGTTGGTTAGTTTTGTTTAGTATATGATTCCTTTCCAACCGGGTTAAAGGAAAGTTTGAAACATGTTATTATATGTTAGAGTTGTTGAGTGTGAAAACTTGAAACTGAAATTCATTATTTTAAACAATTCTTCGTGGGCGAGCTGTGCGAGTGTGGATAGAATTTCTGTGCGAATGAATGAAAATATCAAAAGGTTAGTACTGCATTTGCATTTATTTAATTTACTACATAGAATTTAGAAATTTACTGCTAGTCATGGGGGAATATTAAGATACAAATTTTCATCATAATTAGATTTACTGCTTGTGGGGGAAAATTTTAGAAATGAATTTACTGCATTGGTATTAAATTTATAAATTTATAAGTGTAAGAGATTAATAGAATTTTTGAAATCTGTTTGATGAAATTTGCGATTTTTATTTGTCTTTTGTGGTTTTTGTAGGTGATCGTCGGATGAAGGCTAAAAATCTAAAGAAAACATGAATAAAGTATGGTGAGTTTTTTAATATTTTAATTAGTTAGTAATATTCATTTAATTCATACTTACCTGTTAGTCGTCGGGGAAAAAACCGTGGGGGAAGATGTCGTGAATTAGTTCTGAAGTTGTTAGTAGTTTAGCTAAGATGCGGATGATATTTTTAGTCTGAAGCAGTGGCCAAAGCAATTGAAGTGCCTTGATAGTGGTTAGTTCTTCAGTGCCAACTGCAAACTCATAAGGTGTGTTTTGGATTAGATTATATAATTTGTGATTGAATTTAGTGTTGTGGATGAATTCTAAAATTGGGATTTCTATGGGTTGTACAAACTCGTGCGGGATAAGGAAGGGTCGGGATTCTTCGGCATTGAAGGTCTTGGTAATGGGACAGAAGATGTACATTTGGGTTATGGGGTCATAATTTCGAAGAATACCATGGAGGTTAGTGTCTTTAATACAATATGTGAAATTTAGAAAAAATGGTGAAGTGTATTTGGAATTAATGAATTGAAAACGATGGTGTGGTTGTCTAGAGGGTGTGTGTAGGTCAAAGTGATTTTGGATGAAGCGATAATAACTATATGTGTGGGTTTGTTTAGTGCGCAACATAATATCGTGTGAGCAGTGTAAATCTCTTTCGTGTGGTGCAAGGAAATGAAAGGTTAGTGAAAATATTTGGAAGCGTTCTTTAAAACTTTCGTATGCTTGTGTGTCTGTTAGTGCTTCTGAAATAATGTGATCAAACTTTCGGTCGAAGATGTTTAGTGTGAATGTATATGGTGTCTTGATGAAAAATTTCTCGGTAATTTGTGGATTAGCGAAGCGATCGTCGTCTAAGAATTGATCTTGGTTAGCTCTGATGATGTTGTGATCATAGTATTCGAGTGTATATTCGTTAGCTCTAGGTGCAGTGTGTGTTTTTAGTGATTTTTTATATCCAACGTAAGTAAATTGTCTAGGTGTTAGTGGTGTAGTGAGTCGATATAGCATGTCCGTATTTCGTTCTATATCGATGTGAGTGTTAGATAATGGTAAGCAAAGAGGGTTAGTGAAATGATAATATGAGGTCCAAGAGAGAGTGGGCATTAAAACGTATTCATCTACGAAGTTGCGTGTTTCGTTAGTGTCGTGGGGGGTGTTTAAGGTGTATTGTGGGAATGAGGGTAAGGTGATGGCTAAAAATTCTTTTGTGTTAGTATGCTTGGGGTGGTTGATGTATTCACGGGCTGTTCCTGGTTTTGCTGGGAAAGGATGGTTGGGGAACTTTCTTTTAAAAGTGCGGTAAGCTCTATTAGTGTTGAGTGAAGATTCAGTTGATGTGGATGATGGTGCTAATGATTCAGTATAATTTGAAGAGGGTGTAGGGGTAGGGGGGTTGGATGAATTTATTGTGGAGGAGATTTGGTTTATGGTTGGGGTATTAAGGTGGTAGGGTTGTTGTTGAAGGGTAATAAAATTATCTAGCTCTGGGGAGATTCGGGGGGTGTCTGGAGAATGAGATGATTGGTCAGAATGGTATGAGGAGTAGGTTGGGGTAACTTGGGAAGCATAAGAGGGTGTGGGAGTGATTGGGTCAGGGTTATTGGATAATATGGGTTGAAAAGGGGGTTGAGAAAAATTAGAAGAGTTATGAAAATTATTGGATGGGGATGGTTCTGAGTCGGCGAATTCATCGGGGGTTTCAATATTCGGGTTATTGAGTTGTGAGATGGAATATAAAACTGAGATGTGTGAATTAGTATCGGAATTCATGCCTGATGTTACATTACTAGATGGGAAATCGGGTGGCGGAAAAGCAAAAAGTGGTATTATTGGGATTGGAGAGGTAAGATTGGTTGGGTGGGAATTTGATCGGTGTAGTGATCCAAGTTGGCGGCTCATCGTGGGCTAAAAAAATGATTATTTTGAGACTGAAAAGCGGTGGTATGGGGTTGTTCAATAATTTGTTCATAAGTATTATCATCTTGTGACTGGTGTGTCATTATATGTTGAATGGGACTTTGTGATGTGGTGAGTCGAAAATTTGGATTATGTGTGATGGCTAAGTTTCGAAAATTTCGTGGGACTAGGGATAGTGGATGGTTATTTGGTAGGGCTGGTAATTGTGGTGCCGTTGGCGTTATGTCTACATTGTTATGTTCTTCGTCGTATGTATTTTGTCGTGTTGTTATTTTTGTGTTATATTCTTTTATTTGTGCGTCTAAAAGAATTTTGTTTATAGATGTAGAAAAGATTCCAAAAAATCCTGCAAAGAGTATGCGTGCTACGCTTGCTTGTCTGTTTACTTGTGTGTGTATAGCACATGTGTTGTAGATTCCTTTTAAAAGTGAGAAAAGAAATCCAATAAAGTTAAACATTGCGTATAAAATAGTCAATTTTTCTAAGATGTAGTAGGGCCATCCTAGAAAATCGAGGATCTCATTTTTGAGTGTAACAAAGCTAAAAATGTTAATTGGTGATATATCTTGGGGACGGTATTTTTCACCGTTTAGATATATATAATCTTTAATGTCTTTAAAATATCCGCTATAGTCTTGTGTGTAGATATCGGCAAAACCTGCGGTTTCTGCAAGTTTGCGTAGATTTTGGTCAATTGATTGTCTTTGTATAGTGTCCATTTGTGTTAGTAATTCTTGGAATTGTTGTGTTCTAATGTGATGTTGAATATCTGATTTTGAATAGATTCCTATTGATTGTAAGTCTATATTTGGGTTTCGAGCGATAGCGCGAATGCTTTCTGGTGAAAATTTTTTGAGTGATTGCATTAATGTGGGATATGGAGTGAGAAGATAATATTTATTTTCATCAGGGTTTAGTTGTACTACATTGTGGCTATTTTCTGATCCACATGGGACTGCGGTATCCCAGAAATAGGTTCTTCGTGAAAGTGTATCCACGAAATGTACTTTATTCTTATAAAAGATAGGGATTCTTTTATAACATCGTTTATCTTCAAAAACGTATAGTGGTGATACTTTTTTGGTACA